AAACTGGAAGGTGAAGGTTGCACTGCACTGAGATCACACCATTGCACTCCAGCCTGGGCAAAAGAGTGAAACTCTGTCTCAAAACAACCAAACAGTTTCAAAGTAATGAAACTTTGGTACACATCAGAATGATTGGCATGGCTTATTAAAATATAGATTCTGGGTTTCTCTTCAAGAGTTAATGACAACAAGTATGGAATGGAATCTCAGAATTTGTGTGTCTTACAGGTTCTCAAATGATATTAATGCTATTGGTTTGATAATCACATTTGAGAATCATTGATAGAATCAGACATATCTTTAGCTATGTTACATTTCCATGAGTTGTTTGCTCCAATACACTTTTCATTGAAAGTGATTCTGGGGAGGCAAAAAAGATATATAGAAGCTTAACACATAGCACCTTATAGTATCTAGAGGGTGTTTCCAGATGTTTCCAAGAGAGGTTAAAAATGTCCTGCAAAATAAGAGGCTTGTATTTTATTGAGTGATGGTTACCTTTGACGTGATCCACCCTGACCCCTGATTCATAGTGAGTATTAGAAGGTCTAAGAAGTCACATGTTAAGAAACTTGAAAAATAAGTAGTAATGCTCTCAGCCTATTAGGGGGCAATTTGAAGGTTAGCTCCCTGACAAATGTTTTAAATCAGTTTGTTCCATGTTGCTAGCCAAATGCTAAAGTGGGGGTTATTTTACTATTGATGTATACCCCTATTAAAGAGGAGTGTTGGAATTATTTTGTTGATATTCATGAAATACATGTAATATATTATGTTTTTATTTCAGAACTGTTCGTCAGTTGGCACAGGAGCAGTTCTTTTTAATGTGCACCAGATGTTGCATGGGACACAGGCCTCTGCTTTTCTTCATTACTCTACTCTTTACCATATTGGGGGTGAGATGTTTTCACCTGTCAATATAATGCATTCTTAACATGAGAAACATTCAGAAAATTTGTACTGTAGTTTTTGTTATATTTAGAACAGGCGTAATTTATAAATGCAGTATTATAATTCTTCACTATTTGCAGAGTGGCATTTTGTTGTTTTACAGTTCTTGGGAAAAATACAGTTTTCTTGGAAAAATAAAAGTCAATCAGCTTATTGCTTTTGTCATTGCTATGAAGTAGTGCCAATTAATTTTCATTTTTCCGTGTTAAAAAAAAATTAAATTGACTCTGAGTGTAACCTGTAAATTCCTGTTCTTTTTTAAATTTAATATTTCAGAGCACAGCAAGAGAGAGGGGTAAATATTCCAGTGATTATTTCACACTTTTACGGCACCTTCTCAATTATGCTTACAATGGCAATATTAACGTACCCAATGCTGAAGTTCTTCTTGTCAATGAAATTGATTGGCTCAAAAGGATTAGGGTAAGTTTAATAGTATTTAGTTTATTCTGTTATGATCAAATCAACTGTCTTATTTAAAGGAGGTTTATAGACTTCTATTCAATCTCTATTTTTATTTGAGCACTTGAGTGAATAAATTCTCAAAATGCCTCAGAGTAAATACAGACAAAACTTTTCATTGGTGAATTAGTAACTTACATTTGTAGAAAGAAACATAGCTAGTTTTGTTCAGTGTGTCTTTCCTTAGAACTTGGAATTTTGATAATTTTGTTTCTTTCACCTTGGTATTTGTTGTCTTTTTTTTCAAAAATTACCATATTTGAAGACATTTCAGAAAATCACATTTGAAAGATTGGTATTTGCATTGAAACATCTGACCTCTTTCATGGAGTTCTGTGAGAATATATTTCTGAAGTGTATGGCTTTGGGCTTCATATTAGCATTCTTCTAGTAGAATATAAAGCTTACTTACAGAACTGGCTTTTGAACCCTGGCTATTGATCAAGTGTACCCAGATAATTATTTTTCAGGAGGAGCTTTGCTGTGCATTGTAGAATACTGAGCAGCATTTCTGGCCTCTTTCACCCAGTGCTATAGTAACCTCCTTTCCCCATGGTTGTAAATCCCAAATATGTTTGTGCCTTGTGGGTGCAAAATTGTTTACATTTACTGTTCTAGAGAGTTCTGAAAAAGAAATAAGAAAACACTTGAATGGTTTGGGGAAATTGTGTAGAAGATCTCATTTTTCTCCAGCTCTCTGTTGTTCTAACTCCCTGTCCTTTTCTGTCTTCATCTTATAATAAACTGGACCTATAATATTTATCCTTTCGCAGGATAATGTTAAAGACACAGGTGAAATAGGTGTTGAAGAACCAGTACTGGAAGGCCATCTTGGGGTAACAAAAGAGTTATTGGCCTTTCAAACTCCTGAGAAAAAGTATCACATTGGTTGTGAAAAAGGAGGTGCTAATCTCATTAAAGTAAGTTATTTTCTTCTCCCTCTTTCTCAGTCTCCTGTCTCCTTCTTCTGTTTTTTTGAGATGAAGTCTTGCTCTGTTGCCCAGGCTTGAGTGCAGTGGTGCCATCTCAGCTCACTGCAACCTCTGCCTCAAGCAGTTTTACTGCTTCAGCCTCCTGAAGAGCTGGGACTGCAGGCATACCTTACCATGCCTGGCTAATTTGTGTGTTTTTAGTAGAGACGGGGTTTCACCATGTTGGCCAGCCTGGTCCTGACCTCCTGGCCTCAAGTGATCAGTCTGCCACTGCCTTCTGATGTGCGTGAGTGGCCAAGCCTGGCCTTGTTAAGGTAAGTTCTAAATTTTGGTACTGAATTGCTTATCATGACTTTATAAATGTTTGTTAGCAAATCATCTAAGTGAGCTCTGTATAATGTCTTTGAGATATAATCTTGACTCTTTCTTTTTTCTTGACATCTATTTTAAAAACACTTTCATTTCTGAAGAGGTTATAGTAACTTGAAAATGCATGCCTCACTTTAAGAGATTTTGTAAAATAATTACAAATCAGAGTTGAAGTGCTTTGAAAAATTAATAAGCAGTATTGATTGATTTTCTGGTTGGATAAGTCTCAATTATTCTTGATTAGATTTATTTTTATTTATTTTTTGAGACAGAGTTTTGCTCTTGTTGTCTGAGCTGGAGTGCAATGACACGATCTTGGCTCATCACAACCTCTACCCCCTGCCTCAGGAGGTTCAAGCAATTCTCCTGCCTCCGCCTCTGGAGTAGCTGGAATTACTGGCATGTGCCACCGCACCTGGCTAATTTTGTATTTTTAGTAGAGGTTAGGTTTCTCCATGTTAGTCAGGCTGGTCTGGAACTACTGACCTCAGGTGATTGGGCCTCCCAAAGCTCTGAGATTACAGGCTTGAGCCACGGCACCCAGCCTCTTGACTGAATTTCTAAATGAGAAAAATTTCTATCTTGGGAAACTTTATGTTTTATGTATGTATTGATGAGTTTCTTTATGTGTCTTGTAATTCAAGGAAAAGAATATAATTTTGATGCATTCTTGTTTATATCTGATTTAAAAAGTAAATTTATTTAGAATGTCACTTTTCTTGAATATAAAATTGTTTAAATCACTCTGCCTTATAATCCCAGCACTTTAGGAGGTTGAGGCAGGCAGATCACCTGAAGTCAGGAGTTTGAGGCCAGCTTTGCCAATATGGTGAAACCCCATCTCTATTAAATATACAAAAACTACCTGGGTGTGGGGGTGGGTACCTGTAATGGTCAGCTACTCAGGAGGCTGAGGCAGGAGAATTGGTTGAACCTGGAAGGCAGAGGTTGCACTAAGCCAAGAATGTGCCACTGCACTCCAGCCTGGGTGGCAGAGCGAGACTCCATCTCAGGGGAGAAAAAAAATCTAATCTGGAAAACTGATTACATGTATTAATTGTACTCAGGGTTTTTGTTTGTTTGTTTGTTTTTAGGATTATGTTTTGAGATATAATGAGATGTTTAATTATATCATATTATTATTAAAGTATTTCCTTTGAAGAGACATGTTTTTTCCAAACTGTATTTTCTACTAATAACATGTGATGTCTTTTTCGAATTTACTAGGAATTGATTGATGATTTCATCTTTCCTGCATCCAAAGTTTATCTGCAATGTATAAAAAGTGGAGAACTGCCAGCTGAGCAGGCTGTTCCAGTCTGTAGTTCACCTGCTACCATCAATGCTGGCTTTGAGCTACTTGTAGCATTAGCTATTGGCTGTGTAAGGAATCTCAGACAGATTGTAGACTGTTTGACCGAAATGTATTACATAGGCACAGCAATAACTAGTGAGTATTTTAAATTATAAAACTGTTTTTCTTCATTAATACTTGTTTAAAATTTTATTTTGTGTTTTAGAAAAAATTAACTTTTGATGGATTTTCTTGATCCAGTGAGTTTAGTGGTTTTTAGCCATCAGGTATATAATTAAAACCATTTTAGTCAGAGAACATTAATTCAAAAAAAATTTTAGATGTGTCTTTTAAATGCTCCCCTGTTGTTGGTTTAGGTGAGTTTTATTTAATCATGTGAAAGAAAACTGAAACTTCAGAGTAAGAATAAGCCAAATTTAATGCCATAGAAAGTTCATATTTAAAATATGTGCATTGTAAAGATTGTTGTAATCCAAACACTGAAGTTGAGTAATGTTATTTGAATTATTAAAAGGTGTGGCTTTAAAGATCCCAATGTGAAAAGAGAACATTTGAGTGTATTTTTGTAAGCTCTAAATGTTCACATCAATCCCACAAAGTGGGCAGCTATGTTCGGATCTTACGTAGAACTGAAACTCAGAGTGCTAGATGGTGTAACATAACACATAATGACATAAAATTGTTCACTTCAAAGAAAAACCAAGGCTTAGGAATATTATGTATGTGTGTTTATATACGTGTGTGTGCGTATATACACGCACACACATATACATATATATTTTTGGAGATGGAGTTTTGCTCCCATCGCACAGGCTGGAGTGCAGTGGTGCCATCTTGGCTCACTGTAGTCTCCACCTCCCAGGTTCAAGTGATTCTTTTTCCTCAGCCTCCTGAGTAGCTGGGATTACAGGCTTATGCCACCATGCCTGGCTAACATTTTTTGTATTTTCAGTCGAGATGGGGTTTTGCCATGTTGTCCAAGCTGGTCTTGAACTCCTGACCTGATGTGATCTTCCCACCACAGCTCCCAAAGTGCTAGGATTACAGGCATGTACCACCATGCCTGGCTAAGAATATAATTAGCATAGCATTCATCATAAATTTTAAATTAATAAATGTGAATTTATTTTTCTTATGTCTTTCTCTGGGTGAGGATATTTTGAATTACATTGTCGGAGTGTCTAGCTAAACTCTCTGCTTAAAATGACAGATCTTTATTTTTCCCGTTGAATCTGCACAGAGAAAAGTTTCTTTTTAAAAAATACTTCTTTTGTTAGTTTATTTAACTAATGCATTTATGTAGTAAGTATATATGTTCAAAAAGAGTTTCTATTCTAGAAACACTTTTGTTGTTAATTTAGAGAATGTTTATACCTGGTAAATAAGTGTTTTTACCTATAAAAGCATACATGCTAACAATGAATAACTTCCTACCAATTTTATGTTTTTCAATCCAGAGATTTTCTTTGTGTGTGTATTTGTATGTATGTATAGTTATTTGTTTGTTTTTGTACAAATGAGAATGTACAAAATACAGTATTAACCTTGTGTTGTGCTTTGTTACACATCTGTCAGCACTTCAAGGTTTGTGTAATTCTGTTTTTTAGCTACAAAACTTGCAGTTCAGTGTACTCCAGTTTATGTTATTAATCTCTATGGTGGTGATTAATTTTAAGTTGTTTTTGGTTTTATGTAAGGTAGAGAGAAATTTATACTTCTCACAGTGATTTCATTTACACCATCTCATTGACTTTATGTCACAATAAACCTGGATATGGGCAAAGCAATTATCACTGTTTACTAAGGAAAGAAACAGATATTTAAGTGAAGGTTATACCTTTTATGAGTTAGAACCAAGACTTGACCCAAGTGGTCTTACATACAATCAAAAGTGAGAAAATTGTGGTATTGGCTGGACGAGGTGGCTCACACCTGTAATCCCAGCACTTTGGGAGGCCAAAGAGAGCCGATCACAAGGTCAGGAGTTTAAGACTAGCCTGGCCAATATGGTGAAACCCCTCTACTAAAAGTTAAAAAAATAGCCAGGTGTTATGGTGCCCACCTGTACTCATAGCTGCTTGGATGGGTGAGGCAGAATTGTTTGAACCCAGGACCTGAGAGGTGGAGGTTGCTGTCAGCTGAGATTTTATCTCTGCACTCCAGCTTGAGCATAGAGCGAGACTCCATCTCAAAAAACAAAACAAAACAAAACAAAAAACCAAACAAAGAAAAACGGTAGTATTTTATTTACATAGGGTTCTGACCACAGTGAATTTAATATACTTAAATACAGAAGTGGTTTTTTTGGTTTTTTGTTTTTTTTTTGAGATGGAGCCTCGCTGCACTCAGCTGGAGTGCAGTGGTGTGATCTTGGCTCACTGCAACTTCTGCCCTCTGGGTTCAAGTGATTCTGCTGCCTCAGCCTCCTGAGTAGCAGGGACTACAGGTGCACACCACAACATGCAGCTAATTTTTTTTATTTTTGGTGGAGAAGAGGTTTCACCATATTGGCTAGGATGGTCTCAATTTTCTGACCCGGTGATCTGCCTGCCTCGGCCTCCCAAAGTGCTGGGATAGCAGATTGAGCCGCTGCACTCCGCTGGAAGTTTTTAATTAGTAAAATAATATTGGTTAACGCTAAGCTTGTGTGTAGCGTTAATTAAATGCTAAATGGAAATTTAAGGCTATACCATCTTTTTTTTTTTTTTTTTTTTTTTTTTTTTTTTTTTTTTTTTTTTTTTTTTTTTTTTTTTTTTTTTTTTTTTTTTTTTGTGACAGATTCTGTCACCCAGGCTGGAGTGCAGTGGCGTGATCTTGGCTCACTGCACCTTTGTCTCCTGGGTTCAAGCTGTTCTGCCTCTGCTTCCCAAGTAGTTGTGTGCCACTACACTCAGCTAACTTTTGTATTTTTAGCAAAGACAGGGTTTCACCATGTTGGTCACTCTTGTCTTAAACCACTGACCTCAGGTGGGCCAAAGTGCTGGGATTATAGGCATGAGGCACTTCACCTGGCCAATGTTACATTATCTTATGTGACTCTTTATAAGAAAACTGTTAGGGAAGCAATGTCTTTAAAAACATGGATTTAAAAAGGTCTGTATTTAAGGATCTTTATAGTGGCTCACATTGTTGGTGTGAAATTTTAAAATTACTATTTCAAAGTGGCTGTGTGATAGTAAAGGAGATGATGCTGTTAATAATTTGTCAGCCTGAAGGAGAGAACAGTGAACAGAATCATCATTTTCATAATGCAATCATCTTTTCTCTCTTTAACCCAGCTTGTCAAGCACTTACTGAGTGGGAATATCTGCCCCCTGTTGGACCCCGTCCACCAAAAGGATTTGTGGGACTCAAAAATGCTGGTGCTACCTGTTATATGAATTCTGTGATCCAGCAGCTCTACATGATTCCTTCTATCAGGAATAGTATTCTTGCAATTGGAGGCATAGGTAGTGATTTAGATGATGATATGTTCGGGGATGAGAGGCAGGACAATGAGGTAAATTTTAATTACCAATTACTGTTTTCTTTGAAGATTCTGATGCAGATACCGTTGTTATCCCTGAGATTACTGTACTTTCATGGGATTTTTTGAGGAGTACATTTTGATGATAATGGCTAGAATCTCTGAGTTACCCTGCCTGTTACTGTTAGATAGTTACAGTGCTCACTCTCTAATGGACTTGAAAAACTACAGTTGATAATTTTTATCACTATTTTTTTTTGTCTCCAAAGCGTAGTTCATATTTTTGTGTGACATGGTAAATTTAATTCTATGTTTGAAAAATCATGAATCTGTTCATTTTTAATAATTACACTTTCATTGTCATGTTTTTTAAAATGTTATTTAATTTCTTTCACCTTTTATATTGTCTGTGTTTCATATGCTATACTTATTTTTAGGATTCTCTCTATTTTTCTTAAATTAGAGCTCTTTCTGCTAAGGAAAGAATTTGTTTCTGAAGTAATGCATCATAGACTTGTTAACAATGTCAGGTAACAACTGCAATCAGGCTGCCTATGAAAAGTATCCAGTTGAAAATAAAGCAGTAAAAAAACTTACATTTTAGTGGCAGATCACATATTTAAGACATAGCTCTTAAATATGTGTATATAGAAAACTTAAAGTTTTGGTTATGTGTTTCATTTGGTGCAGTGGCACATGCCTGTAATCCCAGCACTTTGGGAGGTCAAAGTGGGCAAATCCCCTGAGGTCAGGAGTTTGGGAACACCTTGGCCAAAGTGGTAAAAGTGTTCATCTCTTACTCTTTTGCATGTATGATAATAGGAACTAAATATAGAAATCATAATATTTTAACTGTAGTAAATAGTTCTTCTCCAGTTTGTACATTTCTTCCATTAAGTGGTCAGAAAAAGTTTGAGTTTCACATTATATTGTATCATTTATGGAGATTACAGATGCTTGCTTCTACCTTTCAAGATCTAATAAATCATACCATCTAGTCATTCCCGTCTGGTTAGCTATACTTTTAGTAAAATCTCCATGTAGGTTGTTCACCAATAGCAGGTTAAGAGCTACTACTGGAAGGAAATTGGAATTTAAATCCTACTTTTATAGCCCATATTACCCATAGGGTGTTGTATTTAAACCAACTAGGGTTGGCTGATCATACTGGCAACAAGTTAATGAGGCCAGCAGACTATAATATTTCAAATTAGGTCTCCTACCTTTGTGTTTGGTTTCTTGGGTTTTATATTGTATGAGCACTGTACTGTGGCATGCATATCTCTGCCTAGTTACTTTTTCTACACAATGAGCTTCACCAAGGCAGGAACTGGAACTCAAAAAAAAAAAAAAAAAAAAAAAAAAAAAAAAAAAAAAAAAAAAAAAAAAAAAAAAAAAAAAAAAAAAACCAACTGGGTAGTGTTTATTTCTATATCACAAATATCAGATACAGAACAAAGCATTTAGAAACATGTTAGATATTTATAAAGCAACTGTATGTTGCTGTGTGTGTTGCTCTGTAAGTACAATAAGATTATGACCTTTGGAGCTTCTGTGTATGCTCCTGTTCTTCTTCCACAACTATTCTTAATAACTGTATTTCTTGGGTTTTAATAGCTGTGATCCCATTACATAAATTGTCTCATGTAATCTGGGAAAATGGATTATCTTCACAAGAAGGTACTGAATTCTAGCAAGACTAAGTAACTTACTCCCCTGAAGTTACTTATGCAGAGCACTCATTTGTCTTTAGCCCTGTCTACTTGACCAAACTTTACTGTATCACACTACCTGTGATGTATGTTGTTTTTTCACTACTCTTTATGATAACTTCTCTGTGAAATCTTTTATCACAAACCTGTGAAATAGGCACTAATATTAAAAGTTAAGTGCTTTGGGAATAAGAAATATGAAAAAATTTATAGCATTTCATTTACTATTTGTATTTGTTTCAGCTTCTTTCATTATATTATTAAAGTTAGATTAGCTCATTAATTGATGTCTTTTGTTTTCTAGAGTAATGCTGATCCCCGAGATGATGTATTTGAATATCCTCATCAATTTGAAGACAAACCAGCATTAAGTAAGACAGAAGTTAGGAAAGAATATAATATTGGTGTCCTAAGACACCTTCAGGTTATCTTTGGTCATTTAGCTGCTTCCCGGCTACAATACTATGTACCTAGAGGATTTTGGAAACAGTTCAGGTAAATTATGGGTGGAAAATTATTTAAGTTTCATAAAAACTTCATTATGCTAACTGCACTTCTAAAATGTATCTTAGAATGCATAGTTTTATATTTAATATTTAAACTATACTAATATTGTATCCTTGGTCATGGTTTTCTTTATTATTATCCAAATAGCAAGAGGTAAAAATTTGTCACAGTGAAGAAAGACACTGTATTCTTTAATCACTAAAGATATAATTTTTTTTTTTTGGAAGACTTATAAATTATATAAAAGCAGCTGGGCATAGTGGCTTATTCCTGTAATGCCAGCAGGTGGATTCCTGAGGAGTTCAGGACCAGCCTGACCAACATGGAGAAACCCTGTCTCGACTGAAAATACACAGTTAGCTAGGCACGGTGATACTTGCCTGTAATTCCAGCTACTCGGGAGGCTGAGGCAGGAGAATTGCTTTAATCCGGGAAGCAGAGGTTGTGGTGAGCCGAGATCGCACCCTTGCACTCCTGCCCGGGCAACAAGAGAGAAACTCTGTCTCAAAAAAACAAAACAAACAAACAAAAATTATATATGTATATATATATATATGTATATATATATATATATATATATATATGCGAAATATGACAGCTTTGCGGTTCATGCTCATAATCCTAGCACTTTGGTAGGCCAAGGCAAGTGGATCATGAAGTCAGGAGATCAAGAGCATCCTGGCTAACATGGTGAAATCCTGTCTCCAGTAAAAATACAAAAATGAAGTGGGCATGGTGGCACATGGCTATAGTCCCAACCTCTTGGGAGGCTGAGCTAGGAGAATTGCTTGAACCTGGGAGGCAGAGATTGCAGTGAGTTGAGATCATGCATGCCATTGTATTCCAGCCTGGCCACAAGGTGAGATTCTGTCTCAAAAATAAAAGAAGAAGAAGAAGAAGAAGAAAAAACCAAAACACTAAAATGTTGTTATCCACTTGATTCAGCAGCTTCCTCCTGAAGCAAATGTCAAGTATATTGTTTTATCCATATAGATTTTTTATATATCTCTGTTTTACTTTTAAAAGGTGAAAACACATACTATGTTATCACATATAATAAAAATTGTTTTATAAGCTTAGAAAACATGGTAAAACTTTGTCTCTACAAAAAAATACAAAAATTAGTCAGGCATGGTGATACGAGCCTGTAGTCTCAGGTCTTTGGGAGAGTGGAATATCATTTCATTCACTAACATTTGTTACTTGTTTCACCTTCTTTCATTATAAATGAGATTAGTGCAATCATATATTTTGGTCTCTGGAGCAGTATTGATCCCTAAGATGATATATCATACTCTCCTTAAAGGCCAACATTACTCATAAACAAATGAACATTTTCACCACTGAAACAGAAATCCCCCTTCCTAGCCTGGGAACAAAAAATAGTATATATTATATATAACAGTATGTTGTGTATATTATATATAATAATTTATAACTTTATATTTTATATATACAGGTATTTTTTCTTTACAGATTTGTAAAGTAATAATTTCCTAGCATCCTCCAAAAGTGACCGATAAAATTTGGCCCTTTTTTTTAGGTTTGGAAAAGCTCAATTAGGCCAACTGCAGTAGTTCACATTGGTAGTCCCAGCACTTTAGGAGGCCAAGGTAGACAGATCACTTGAGCCTAGGGGCTCAAGACCACCCTGGGCAACATGGCAAAACCCTGTCTCTACTAAAAATGCAAAAAATTAGCTGGGCATTGTGACCTGTACTAGTAGTCCATACCACATGGGACACTTGAGGCAGGAAGATCACCTGAACCATGATTACACTACTGCACTCCAGCCTGAGCAACAGACTGAGCCTCTGTTTCTAAAAACAAATAAAGAGCTCAGTTACATCATGATCTTGTTTTGTTTGTTTTTTATTTTTTTAAGGCCTACTTTGTGTCATACATGATTACTAAAAAGCTGTAGTGCAACTTTTTACCATATACTGTAACATGTGCCCTTCCTAGTGTATAGAAAAATAGTGCTGCCCCTCATAAGAATTCAGAGTTCTTTCAACAGAGTATCTCCTAGATATCTGAGAGGTAGGAAAGGAAAGGGTTCTTTTAATTTTGGGGCTGCCTTTTCTATTTCACTTTTTGCAGCCACCCTTATATCTGTTAGCATATCACTCTGATTTATTTTGAAAATCATAAGCCTATATAGTACACTGACTACCCATTACATCTCTCAGTATAAATTCTATATTCTGTAGCTGAACTATAAGCCTAGGTTATATGGATGATATGCGTATATAATTCTTCTTTTCTTCTTTCGCTTACCTAACCTGATATGTACTTGCTCTCCGTTTTACCTGTTGGAACTATCTTTTCTCTGCCTTTTGCTTTCGTTACCTCAAGATTTTTTTCTGCAATCTGGTCAACACTTCTGTTATTGTTTTTCCAATTTACTGTAACACTTCTAAGTTTCTATCTTCAAATCTTTCACTCAATAATTTGTGTGTGTGCATATATGTGTTAATTGTATAACATTGTTACATAATTATATACATTATTACACAGTAATTCTATACACATGTATGTACATATATATAGTTTTGCTTCTTTATAATTTGTGTTTAAATGCATTAAGTTATAATGTATTTACACTTAAATATGTGTGTTTTTGTCCTGCCATGATTCTCTCCAAATAAGTGTGGAGCTCACAATTTGTCCTAATACATTTGAAACTCTAGACACATGTTCTTAACACATTTTTTTTTTGTGTAGTGAAGTTCATATAAAATTAACCATTTTATCCACTTAATAGTGTACAATTCAGTGGGTTTGGTACATTCAAAATTTTTGTGAAAGTATATTTGGTTCCAGAACATTTTTATCACCAAAAAAAGAGGTCCCCTGATCATTGTAGAGTCATTGAGCCCAGTTTTCTCTTCTTCCTAGCCTGGCAACAAAAGGTACCTTTCTTTGTATATAGATAAGTTTGCCAATTTTGGATATTTCATTTAATTTAATCACAGAATAAATGGCCTTTCTCTCTAGCTTCTTGTGTTAAATATGGTATATTAAATTATCTCTGTTTTGTAGCACGAATCAGCACTTCGTTCATTTTATGGCTGAATGATATTTCATTATATGACTAGACCACATTTTGTTTAATTATTCGTTGATAAACTTTGGATTGTTTCTGTCTTTGGGCTCTTGTGAATAGTGCCTCTTTGAAAATTGATGAACAAGTTTATGTGTAGATAATATGTTTTCATTTCTTTTTGGAGTATACCTAAGAGTGCAATTACTGGATCATGTGGTAATTCTTTGTCTAACTTTTTGAGGAACCATCAAATTTATTTCCAAAGCCCCTGTAGAATTTTCCATTTTCTTTTTCTTTTCTTTTTTTTTTTCTCTTGAGACTGAGTCTCGCTCTGTTAGACAGACTGGAGAGTGGTGGCGCAATCTCAGTTCATAGCAAGCTTAGTTCCCGGGCTCAAGCAACTCTCCTGCCTTAGCCTTCCTGCCTCAGCCTCCTGAGTAGCTGGGACTACAGATGCACTCCACCACAGCTAATTTTTGTATTTTTAGTAGAGACAGGGTTTTTAGTAGACAAAAGATTTGGTCATATTGACTAGGCTGGTCTCAAACTTCAGATGATCTGCCCACCTTGGCCTCCCAAAGTGCTGCTATTATGTGAGCCACTGTGCCTGGCCCAGAATTTTACATTTTTTATCAGCAAATTACGAAGGCTACAGTTTCTCTACATCTGTCAACACTTACTATTTCCTTCCTTTTTAGTATATCCATCTTGAAGTATGTGAAGTATATCGTCTTTTGGATTTGATTTGTATTTCCCTAATGACTGTTAGTACTGTTGAACATTTTTTGATGTACTTATTAGCAATTTCTGTACTTTTTTGGGGAACTGTCTATTCAAATACTTTTCTCATTTTTTGATTGCCTTTTGTTGTTGCATTGTAAGACGTTTTGGTATCTTTTTTGTGTATTTATGATAGAAGGCCCTTAAAGATAAATTATTTAGAAATATTTTCTCCCATCAGTATCTTTGTAGTGTGCTTTATGCCTAAGAGGTTTTATCTTTTTTTTTTTTTTTAGAGTCTTACTGCCACCTAGGCTGTAAGTGCAGTGGTTCTGCCCCTGTTCACTGCAACCTCCATCTCTCAGATTCGAGTATTTTCTTGCCTCAGCCTCCTGAGTTGCTGGAACTATAGGCCGGTGCTGCCATGCCCACCTAATTTTTGTATTTTTATTACAGACAGGGTTTTATCACATTGGCCAGGTTGATTTTGAGCTCCTGACTTCAGGTCATCTGCCCTGAAGTGCTGAGGTGACAGATGTAAGCTATTGGACTGGCCAGTAGTTTTAAATTTTGATTAAATCATATTTATCTTATTTTTCTTTTCATTTGCAGGCTCTACCTGTGATTTACTATTTTTATTGTGACAGAGTGTACAGAACATAAAATTCACCCATTTAATAGATTTTAGTTGTCCAGGTCACTAGTATTATATACCTTTACAGTTTGTGCACCACTATATCCAAAGGTCTTTTTTATAAATTTTTTTTCCCTGAAACAGAGCCTCACTCTGTCACTCATGCTGGAGTGGAGTGGTGTGATTTCTCCTCACTACAATCTCCACCTCCTGGGTTAAACAGTTCTGCTTCAGCCTCTTGAATAGCTGGGATTATAGGTGCCTGCCACCACGCCTAGCTAATTTTGTATTTTTAGTAGAAACGAGGTTTCACTATGTTGGCCAGGGTGGAATTGAATTTCTGACCTCAGGTGATCCACCTGGCTTGGCCCCTCAAACAGCTGGGATTACAGCCATGAGCCACTACACCTGCTAGTTTTTCCTCTTTTAAATTAAAACTTTATATTCATTAATAACTCCCAAATATGCTGACATTGATTTTGGGTGCTGTTTTTTTTTTTTATTATAGTGATGTAGACTATTGTGCAATCTTTAGAATTTCAATTTAGATGCTTTTTATATCTTACTTTTTCCTGATTATACCTAAAT